ATATAAAATAGAAGTTATAATCGAATATTTTTTAATTTATAATAATATATATATATATATATATATATAGAGTTTAATTAGTATTAGTTTATAAAAAATTAATGATAAAGAGAAAGAGAGCGATATTTTTCTTTACAGACAAGCGATTTTTTTTTCATTGATCAACTAAGAAATATTCCATTAATAAAATATGTATCGTTAACTTTTTAACAATAAGTAAAATCTATTAAAACACTAATTTTATTTGAAAAGAGTTACATATATCATTCCATAAAACTCGATAAAAAAAATAATATATAACACTTTTAATTACTAAAGATAGATAAATGAATTATTCGCGCTTGTTCGTTGTTTTGTCGCGAGCTATTTACTTTGTTCTTACCCGCTTTGTCCTATCAGAAGATGAGTTCATGCAGTGTCGCGGTACGACCTCTTCGAACAACAGGCGAGACTGACGCGTCCTTCTTGTAACCACTTCCGTTTTTGTGCGATTCTTTGGTGCCGGTCAGCGGCACGCCGGTGTTTCAACGCGCTCTTTGTCGCGCGCGCTAAGACAAATCCAATTACAGAATTTTTATAAACAGATTTCGCCGATCTCTCAAAAATCGAGAATTTTCTCTTTCCTCTTCGTAGAAGCGATTGACACTCGCGAAGATTCGTTTTTTTTTTGTTTTTTTTTTTTTCATTCGAGGAATTTGAAAGCACCGCCGGGCATGTTCCACCGTGCCACAATTTCAGACGTGATTACGATTGTAATCGCGCGAGTAATTCTAATTACGCTTCGTACGCGCGCGTACGTCCACGCTTCCTCCTCGCGACTCCTCGACGATGACGAGGTGGACGGACAGCCGGATAAGCGATCACTCGCAGAACCGCTCAGAATTATCTCTCGTTCGGCGACTCGCGCGCGAAACGGAGCGGAGGCGTTCCTTTGGACCTCCGGCGCGATTTTTTTTCCCGCTGGCGTCGAGCCCCCTCCTGCGTTATTCGCGCTTGAACGAAAGTGCGGAGAGTTGATCGAGAGAGTTTGATCGCGCGTGCCTCCTTGCCTTGTGCCTCGAGGAGCTCTCGCGTTGTTTGCGATACGTGAGAAAAGAGGAAAAACGTAACCGGAATTTTACGGGGAACAGATCGGCGATTCCTGGATTGCATCGCGTTCTCGGCAATCCACACGTGGATTGCGTCCGTAATAATACGTGTAATTTGTACGCGTTGTTGGGCATTTCCTAGAAGCGAATATTCCGGTTTGCTAAGGAATCGCTAACTAATTATCGTAATAATATTTCGCTTCGCCCAGTTCTCTCGAAATAGCGCGTGAGGCGGATTTAACTAGTTTCGCAGATCGATTTATGGACAAATCTAAATTAGAACTATTTGAAACTGCATAATTAGCTTGCACGGGGGTTTAGGGAAGGAGCCAGGCTAGGGGCTTGGCCTCCCCTTCTCCAAACATAGTTGCAGACTGAAAATAAAGTATATTATCAAGTATATTAATATGCATCTCAAATATCTTAATATGTAAAATAATTTAAAAATTCTTACGTATTTGATAAAATTAAAGAGACTGTTTTTATCGTAATGAACGCATAATTTGTAATCGTATAATTTAATTTACTTGTCGACAGTTACTATCACGTTTGAATAGATAATGAGGATTCATAGCTTTCTATTGATTCACTCCATCGAATCATTCAAAAGAATCCTTAATCTGTATTATGAAGCATGTGCTATCAAACGCGAAACTCATTTGTCTCCACGATGCAAGAATAAATCTTCTCGTTTTTGACATCATAATCCCCATAAATATGCAGTGATAAGGCCGAGGATGCTTAGCGTACGATTCGCCAGAAACAAAACCTGCCTTTTGCAGCAACGTAACGCGCTGTATATATATATATATATATATATATATATATATATATATATATATATATATATATATATATTTTTAT